GATTTCTGATACATGGGATCATCTTTGTCATCCTCCTCTGTACGTTTTCCAGAGCATTTATATCCATTCTGTAATACGGTGACCAGAACTGAGCAGCATAGTCTAAATGAGGCCTAACCAAGGATATATAGAGTTGAAGAACAACCTGAGGACTTCTATTATTTATACTTCTAGATATGAAGCCAAGAATTCTGGTAGCTTTATTGCGAACACTAATGCACTGTTGTCTTGGTTTTAAATTACTGATAACCAGAACTCCTAAATCCTTTTTGCAATCAGTAGTATTAAGATCTACATCATTTAGTTTATATGTGGCATGGTTATTTACCTGTTATTTACCTGCATTTGTCAATATTAAACTGCATCTGCCACTTCTCCGACCATTGCATCAGTCTATTCAAATCATCCTGGAGTGCTCTAGTGTCCTCATTAGAATGAATTTTGGTGTCATCAGCAAATTTTGGTGTCATCAGCAAATTTGCTTATGTCGCTATTTATTCCCTCATCTATGTAGTTTATGTAAATTGTGAACAACAACGGGCCCAACACTGACCCCTGAGGAACACCGCTTGTGACATGCCCCCATTCTGATTTCTCTCCATTTATGCAAACTCTCTGCTGTCTATTTGTCAGCCATGCCTCTACCCAGGAAAAAATTTCTCCTATTCCATGTGCCTTAAGTTTCTTCAATAGCCTCTGGTGTGGAGCTCTATCAAAAGCCTTACTGAAGTCCATATACACAATATCATATTCATTGCCATGATCTACCTCCTCACACCTTAGTGAAAAAGTTAGTAAATTCGTAAGACAGGAACGCCCCTTTGTAAAACCGTGTTAAGATTCATTAATCAATCTGTGCCTGTCAAGATGGCTACGAATTGCTTCGGCAATTATTGAGTCCATAAATTTTCCCACTATGGAGGTAAGGCTTATTGGTCTATAGTTCGAAGCCAAGAACCTGTCACCTGCCTTGTAAATAGGTATTACATTTACCATTTTCCACTTTTCAGGCACTATGCCAGTTTGTAGTGATATGTTAAAAAGATTAGCCAAAGGTATGCTAAGTTTCTCTTTACATTCCTTTAACACCCTTGCAAACAGTTCATCAGGGCCTTGGGATTTGTTAGGTTTTAGTTTCTCTATTTGTCTGAGGACCATGTCACTAGTTACCGCAATCGTACATAGTTTATTATCCTGTTCTACATAATCTTTTATTTCAGGAATATCGCTAGTATTTTCCTGGGTGAAAACTGAGAGGAAGTAGGTATTTAGAATTTCACACATATCCTTATCACTGTCAGTGATCTGACCCGAGTTACTCTTAAGTGGGCCAATCTTGTCCCTAATCTTACTTCTGTATACCTGAAAGAATCCTTTAGGGTTAATCTTTGAATCCCTTGCGACCTTAGCCTCATAATCCCTTTTTGCTTTTCTTATTCCTTTCTTTATTTCTCTCTTTAATTGAATATATTGATTTCTTAACTGCCCAGCCCCTCTTTTGATACTCCTATATATGCCTCTCTTTTGACCAGTGAGATGTTTTAATCTATTGTTCATCCATTTGGGATCATTTTTGTTAGATCTAATTTCCCTACTCGAAACAAAAGTTGTCTGTGCAGCTAGAACTATGCTCTGAAAAACGTCATATTGGCAACCAAGATCACCTACCTGACCCATAGTCAGGACATCCCAATTTAGCCCACCCAGGTAATTTTTCAGCCCCATGAAGTCGGCCAAGCGAAAATCTGGGACAGAGATTTGATTGCAGTTATCTGGGTAATTCCATGCTATACTAAAACTAAGTGATTTGTGATCACTTTCCCCAAGCTCATCATTAACCTCAAGATTATTAATTAGTGAATCTTTGTTGGCAAGAACCAAGTCAAGCAGATTGTTTCCTCTAGTTGGTTCTGTCACAAACTGTTCTAAAAAGCAATCCTGAACCGTATCAAGAAAGTCACTAGATTCAAGATTTCCTCTCATATTGTTCCAATCAATTTGTCTAAAGTTAAAATCTCCAATTATCACAACATTTTCATATCTAGATGCCTTATGAATTTCGTCCCATAACAGCTTACTGTCCTCCCTATCAAGGTTCGGGGGCCTATAAATCACACCCAAAATTAATTTGTCATGTCCCTCGAGAAACTGTAGCCAAACAGATTCTGTGTTCGATGTTTCTAATCTTATATCATGTCTAAGACAACAATTTAAATTTTCTGACATACATCGCCACTCCACCATCCTTCCTGTTGACCCTATCAGTGTGGAATAGTTTATAACCCTGTATGTTGCATTCAGAAGGCATTTCTCTATCTTTCAGGTTGAGCCAGGTCTCTTGTTATACCAATAATATCTATATTACCTACACTTGCAAGTAATCTTAGCTCATCTATCTTATTTCTTAGACTCCTACTATTTGTATAGTAAACTTTAAGGGAGCTAGTCACTCGTTGCCCTCTACTATCTCTGTTTGTTGATCAATTGATTTGCCATTACTAGCAACTTTATTTTGAATATTGTCTTCTAAACATATCCCTGAGGTATCCCGGTAATAACTGCTGTTTTTAACCCTAATGCTGCAGCCTGATTGTTTCCCACAAACACCCATACCTCTATAATCTATCAGTTTAAATTCCTAGACAAGTCATCAATTACCCTCTCAACTGAATTGGCTAATGCAACCACTCCATCCCCAGAGAGATGAACCCCATCCCTTGCATACATATCACGTTTGCCAAAGAATAGGTCCCAGTTACCAATGAATGGGATTGCAAGTTCCTTGCAGTACCTGTTTAGCCAACAATTTATACCAATTGCCCTAGACATCCATTCATTGCCCACTCCCTTTCTAGGCAAGATGCTACATATGACTGGGATCCCTCCCTTAGACCTAACTACTTCTATGGCTGACCTGTACTTATCCAGCAACTCCTCTCTCCTGCCCTTCCCAATGTCATTACCCCCAGCACTAAGACAGATAATTGGCTTGTTCCCATTACCTGCCATAATATTATTGATTTTATACCCATACTTTTGTCATGTGGGTTTTTTCAATATAATATGTTTATATTAATAACGCAACAGGACATATACCTGATGTTAAATGATGCTTATGTTACAGTTGTAGGTAATATTTTGATTTTTCGTGTTTTTACGTATAAGTATTGTTACCACTTATCATCGTCAATTATGTTTTTATTGCATTGTCAGTAATGCGATTGATAGTGAGTTTTTGGGCACAGAAAGCAAAGGTGATATCAAGTAATTACGTAGTACCGAATGGAGAATTCTGTGTTGGATGTGTCAGGGTCGTCATGACCTTCTTCATGTATTAAGTGTGAATGGTGTCAAGATTATAGTTTTAAGACCGTGAAGAGCTTTAGGGCTTATGTAGAGTGTGCGTTTATAGCCTTTATTGGGCATATTTCATGTGCGATAATTGTATCGCAATGAGAGGTTATTAAATTATGTTTGTGTTGAGTGTTGTGGGTTTTTAGAGAGTGTACTGTCTTTATTTTAGCATTATATAATGTGCTCATCCAGTTGATAAGAGATGGAACGCTAATGACTTCCATAAATTGTAATGCCTCGTTAATAAGTTTGTAATGGGACAGTATGGTTTAGTCTCAGATTTTATATAATGTGCTCAGGCGTTGGAAGAGGCTGTAGTAATATTTAGTAATATTTGTTAATATTTATTTAGTATAAGGGGTTAATTTTGGGAAGAGCATGTATTTGTTTAACTGAGATTGTGATGTAGTATTTATTATTAAAGATTAGCCGGTATTCTCCCGGCCCGGGCCTTTTCCAAGTGGTGGCCCGGCCTAGACTCCCTCTTTAGGGAGTGTCTGAGACCTAAGTCTCCCATGGGAGGAGGCACAAGTACCTCCTCATCTTTGGGACCAACTGTCCCCAGGCCTAGCCACAAGCTAGGCCTCTCTGGTCTGCCATCCCCGCCTCAAGGGGGCTAATGGGAATGACAGTCTTATGAGCTAAAGGCTCGGGCTCAGGCACCTACCCTGCCCTAGAAGGGTTAGGCATGGTGTCGATCTGTGATGTAGTTAGTTAGTTAGTTAAAGATTAGCCGGTATTCTCCCGGCCCGGGCCTTTTCCAAGTGGTGGCCCGGCCTTGGCTCCCTCTTTAGGGAGTGTCTGAGACCTAAGTCTCCCATGGGAGGAGGCACAAGTACCTCCTCATCTTTGGGACCAACTGTCCCCAGGCCTAGCCACAAGCTAGGCCTCTCTGGTCTGCCATCCCCGCCCCAAGGGGGCAAATGGGAATGACAGTCTTATGAGCTAAAGGCTCGGGCTCAGGCACCTACCCTACCCTAGAAGGGTTAGGCATGGTGTCGATCTGTGATGTAGGTTATTACTCTGTTTATCTCCTGTGAAGGTTGTGAACCTTTGTCATATGTCAGTCATACTATGTTAACTATACAAATCTGAAAGTTGTATATAGTTTATATTTTATATAGTTTATATAGTTATAGTTTATATTGTTTATCATAGTATGTTATATAGAAAATTTTGTGAGTGTATATGGGTAACCTCTTTTATGTCAATTACAATGTGTTGTTAATAATTGGTTAGTGTATGTTGTGTAGGATTGAGGATCCTACTGTACCCATTTTATATCTTTATTTAATATCAAGCTGTAAAGTTTTTAAATAAAATATAAAAAAAGATAGTGAGTTTTGGATACTGTTGCGATTTGTTTCTTTTAATTAGGGGTTGGTATGTTTTCCTCTTATAGTGAGGAGACTATCAATGTTTTTCTTTTTCCTTGCATAACGTACTTGTTAATTAACGATGTATTTCTCTTGTATGTATTGAATGTACACTGTTTTTTTTTTTAAGTAAAATATAAAAAAAAAATTCTAGAAATTATATAATATTTTCCAATAACTAAAAATCCACAGGTGCGACTACTAATTCGGATTAAGCGTGCTTGTATTACATAAGAATACCTACAGCACACCGAACATATTTAATGAAGAGGAGGATATAGACAGGTGTATGCACACCTGGAATTAGTTATTGTTACAAATAAATGTATTCTCCCCTTACTATATTCATAGCCTCGACACTGGCAAGTACGACACCACACACTTCTCTGCTGCATATATCCGAGTAAGTAAAACTTCTAGTTTTTTCGTTTCAGTGTATTTGTGAAATAACATAGTTACCCCTTAAATATTTAGCAGAAAACAGTTTTCTGTACAAATATTCAATTAAATTTTGATGTAAAACGTTTCTGAAGGTAATATTTTGTTTACCGTTTTGTTATATTGGGACTTGAGAGACGGACAAATTACGGGAAAAATGTAAAATATTTAACGCTAGCAGATTTTAATTAAATACAATTTTATTAGAGCACAACACTAAAAATTAGCATAACTCAAGTGACACAATAACATCTGTGTTCACTAGTAAAATAAAGAGTTGTGAAATAAGGGCCGGAAGAATACCGTCGAATAAGAAGAAAAAAAAGACTTACTTCTCGAGATACTTCCCAGATAGGGAGCCAAGGCCGGGTCACCACTACTTGGAAAAGACCCGGGCCGGGAGAATACCGGCGAAAAAAAAAAAAAAAACTGGAGCCCGAGCTGTAGCTCACAAGATTGTCATTCCCATTAGCCCCCTTGGGACGGGGATGGCAGACCAGAGAGGCCTAGCTTGTGGCTAGGCCTTGGGACAGTTGGTCCCAAAGATGAGAAGGTACTTGTGTCTCCTCCCATGGGAGACTTAGGTCTCAGATACTCCCTAGACGGGGAGCCAAGGCCAGGCCACCACTTGGAAAAGGCCCGGCCGGGAGAATACCGGCGAATCGTTAATAATAATAATAATAATAAAAGGTCACCACTACTTGGAAAAGACCCGGGCCAGGAGAGTACCGGCGAATAAAAAAAAAAAAAACTGATCGACACCATGCCCAGCCCTTCTAGGGCAGGGTAGGTGCCTGAGCCCGAGGTTACAGCTCACAATCCTGCCATTCCTATTAGGCCCCTTGGGGCGGGGATGGCAGACCAGAGAGGCCTAGGTTCTCCCTACGAGCCCCATGAGGGCGGAGAATGCGGCTAGGCCTGGGGACAGTTGGTCCCAAAGATGAGGGGGTACTTGTGCCTCCTCCCATGGCAGACTTAGCTCTCTCACACTCCCTGGACTGGGAGCCAAGGCCGGGCCACCACTTGGAAAAGGCCCGGGCCGGGAGAATACCGGCGAATATTTAATAATAATACTACTACACAGCTGTTCTTCTCTGTTGACTGTTATAAGTACTGCAGTGCCTTTGCACTATCGTTGCAATCTTCTAATTAGGTGGAAAGGAGACTCTTAAAAAGTTTTTATATATTTTTTTATATTCTTCCTTGTGTATGATAACTAGGGTGACTTATGACCATAGTTGCAGACCCCCCCCCCCTAGGGTGACTTATGACCATAGTTGCAGACCCCCCCCTATTCCAAGACCCCTGATTAAATGGGTCTGGTAACTTTCACAAGCTTGACCTCAGACGTTCAAAATATTCCTCGTATATAGGTTTAGGTAAGGTTCGTCAGGCAACAGGACAAGTGTTTCCTGACGCGGGTCTTAGTCAGATGATGACCCGCCATTGGAGCTTTTGGCCATCTGACCGAGACCTTCCGCTGGCTTACCGGACCACCCCTGTAAAAATTATGGCTATAGTTAGAACCATTAATTGATTACCCCTCTTATATAGATAACTGCGCAGAAAGTGAAGTTAAAAATTAGATACATCTGGGTATCTTTAAAGTAGACGTTCCGCCATCCAGTGGCTTTATCAATACCTATATCTTACTTTGAGTCTAATTTTCATCTTAGGTGTACTGTATAAAACATAAATAAAGTGAAGTTACTTGGTGCACATTTGCTTATTTAATGTGAGAAATTTTTATTCTGCTTTAATCTCCCTCTTCTGAAGGACTTGGGTATAAAATGGCTGATACATCTTACAGTCAAAATACTAAATTATTTAATAAAATCTTGGAATATTTGAAATCTTTGCATTATCTGGCTGATAATTTCTTATGATTGGCTGCAATTTTTTAACCCTGGAGTGTTTTCCAAAATGCAAGAATTAGTTTATGGGATCCTTAAATCAAAATTTGCCAGTTTTAAAGAATAAATCTTCTGATCTGTTTCAAAATATTAACGTATATGCATTCAATAAGAAGAATGACTCCCAGGAAATTTAGATAATGTGGCTGCAATCTCGAAAATTTTCAGATATTACTAAAAAACTTGGAATCGTTGAATTCAGAGAAACTGCTGGACAATGCCCTTTTTATTATGATTCGAACCTTCAGTGTTTTGGGGCTGTGTAAATTTTAATATTCAAATTTTCCTCAAAGGAAACAATCTATTGGAGTCAGGTGGCATTATTTATCAGGTGTCAACTTTATTAATAAAATTAGTTGATGCGAATTAAATAGAGAATGTCTCTTCTGATCAAAACAAGTCACAGTGATGGACATGACTGTGTTCTCGTAGATTAATTAAATCGACCTAATATTCTTCTATGTGTCTATAACATTCTTGAGCCATCAAGACCATTCTTAAACATTTCTATGCTGTGTACACTATACACACACGAACTTACTTTCTTAAACCCTGATCAATCTTACTTTGAGAAAAGTTTTGAGTGATTGTAGCCTGTGTAGGTCCCAATTCGTTTTTCTGAAAGTAATTGGAAAATTGAAATACTGGTTTACATGCAATAATCTCTGACTGTTGCATATGTTTAAGAATATAAGTACATAAGAAAGAAGGAGCAAGGCAACGGACTTACTGGTCCATGCAAGGCAGGTCCAATTCTCCTGCCGGCTCAAGCAAACGGTGGCCTGGTGGCTAAAGCTCCCGCTTCACACACGGAAGGCACGGGTTCGATTCCCGGCGGGTGGAAACATTTCGACACGTTTCCTTACACCTGTTGTCCTGTTCACCTAGCAGCAAATAGGTACCTGGGTGTTAGTCGACTGGTGTGGGTCGCATTCTGGGGGACAAGATTAAGGACCCCAATGGAAATAAGTTAGACAGTCCTCGATGACGCACTGACTTTCTTGGGTTATCCTGGGTGGCTAACCCTCCGGGGTTAAAAATCCGAACGAAATCTTATCTTAGCACAAGCTAGTAAGGTCCAACTTACACCCACCCACACCCACTCATGTATTTATCTAACCTATTTTTAAAACTACACAACGTTTTAGCCTCAATAACTGTACTCGGGAGTTTGTTCCACTCATCCACAACTCTATTACCAAACCAGTACTTTCCTATATCCTTCCAGAATCTGAATTTTTCCAACTTAAAGCCATTTCTGCGAGTCCTGTCTTGGCTGGAAATTTTTAGCATGCAATTTATATCCCTTTTATTTATCCCTATTTTCCATTTATACACTTTGATCATATCCCCTCCTAATTCTACACCTTTCTAGAGAGTGCAGATTCAGTCCATCCTCACAGGGAAGCGGTGACCAGAACTATGCAGCATAATGTAAATGAGGCCTAACCAAGGATATATAGAGTTGAAGAACAACCTGAGGACTTCTATTATTTATACTTCTTGATATGAAGCCAAGGATTCTGTTAGCTTTATTGCGAACACTTGCGCAATGTTGTCTTATTTTCAGTATTACTGCTAACCAGAACTAACTTCTTTTCGCAGTCAGTAATATTAAAATCTACATTATTTAGTTTATATCTGGCGTGGTTATTTTCCTGTCCAACATTTAGAACTTTGCATTTGTCTATATTAAACTGCATCTGCCACTTCTCCGACCATTGCATCAGTCTATTCAAATCATCATGGAGTGCTCTAGTGTCCTCATTAGAATTAATTGGACAGCCTATTTTGTCATCAACAAATTTCCTTATGTCGCTATTTATTCCCTCGTCCATGTCGTTAATATAAATTGTAAACAACAAGGGGCCCAATACTGACCCCTGTGGAACACCGCTTGTGACATGCCCCCATTCAAATTTCTCCCCATTTACGCAAATTCTCTGCTGCCTATTTGTCAAACATTCCACTACCCAGGAAAAAAATTCTCCTCCTATTCCATGTGCCTTAAGTTTACTCAGTAGCCTCTGATGTGGGACTCTCTCGAAAGCCTTACTGAAGTCCATATACACAATATCATATTCAATACCATGATCTACCTCCTCAAATACCATAGTGAAGACAGTTCGTAAATTCGTAAGACAGGAACACCCCTTTGTAAAACCGTGCTGAGATTCATTAATCAGCTTATGCCTTTCATGATGGCTACAAATTGCTTCGGCAATTATTGATTCCATAAATTTTCCCACTATGGAGGTAAGTCTTATTGGTCTATAGTTCGAAGCCAAGGACCTGTCACCTGCCTTGTAAATAGGTATTACATTTGCCATTTTCCACTTGTCTGGCACTATGCCAGTTTGTAGTGATATATTGAAAAGATTAGCCAAAGGTATGCTAAGTTCCTCTTTACATTCCTTTAGAACCTTCGTAAACAGTTCATCAGGGCCTGTGTATTTATTAGTTTCTAATTTCTCTATTTGTCTGAGGACCATGTCACTAATTACCCTAATCATGCATAGTTTTTATCGTCCTGTTGTATATATTTTATTATTTCTGGAAATTCGCTAGTATCGTCTTGAGTAAAAACTGAGAGGAAGGAAGTATTGAAAATTTCACACATATCCTTATCACTTTCAGTGATCTGACCTGAGTTACTCTTAAGTGGGCCTATCTTGTCCCTAATCTTACTTCTATATAGCCAAAACTCCAGGAAAGCAGCGAACATATATATCTCTTGGGCCAAAAAAAAAAGCAATTGCAAGTAGTATACCTCCTTCCAACTCAGCAACATTCAAGTATACAGCTGGTATAACTGTGCAGCTGCTGGGAAGTGGGAGTATGCGTCCATGCAATAAATTTTATGTATTCATAAACAATGCTCTATTGTCCATGGGGAAGTGGAAAAGAATCTTTCCTCCGTAAGCCATGCGTGTCGCATGAGGCGACTGGAATGTCAGAAGCAATGGGCTAGTAACCCCTTCTCCTGCACACATTTACTAAAAATCAGAAGAAAATCTTTATAAAACTGGGATGCTTGAATGTACGTGGATGT